AACCGATATTATCCAGAACGATAATCGATGTCACAAGCCCTCTACTGCAAATTGTTAACCTTTTCCCCGCAACCAAGACAATTTATTGCGATAACGAGGCGGCCTTCAATTCCGAGACCATCACTTCGATGCTCCGAAACGCCTACGGCATTTGCATTGTGAATGCGGCTCCGCTTCACAGCACCTCAAACGGCCAGGTGGAGCGCTTTCATAGCACCCTGACCGAAATTGCGAGATGCCTCAAGTTAGACAAGAAAATCAGCGACACTACAGAATTAATCTTAAAGGCTACGATAGAGTACAACAAAAGTTTGCACTCAGTAACCCGCGAGAAACCAATTGAGGTCGTCCATGCCGCAGCTTATGATCGTCGCGAGAACGTCAAAGACAGGCTAATTAAGGCACAGCAAGACAATATCAAAAGGTGCAATGCATCCAGGCAAAACCGCGTTTTCGAGGTAGGAGAAAAGGTGTTCCAGAAGAACAACAAGAGGCTAGGGAACAAGTTAACTCCCTTATGCTCAGAACAAAAGGTCGAAGCAGACCTGGGAACGTCTGTCCTCATTAAGGGGAGGGTGGTACATAAGGACAACCTGAAATAAGTTTTCCTCCACAATTAGCTAGTAAGCCAACTTAGAGTTAGAACACCGTCTTATATTATTCGTCCATTTCAGGTTTGCACTCACTTTGCTTGTGGCACTAGCAGCGGTAAATGCTCGGATCACCGACTTCTCGCATGCCAACAACATTCCGGTCTTAGACGGGGAAGTACTGGTGTTCGATCAACGTAGCTACTTGACGCACTCAAGTAACATTTCTGAATTTGTTAGTATGGTAGACGAGACGGAAAAACTGTCCAATTCCTTTCCACAGTCGCATATGCGCAAACTACTGGACGTAGATACAGATCACCTTAGAACATTGTTGTCCGTTCTTCAAGTGCATCACAGATTTGCACGAAGCCTCGATTTCTTAGGCACTGCCTTGAAGGTTGTTGCTGGCACATCTGATGCTTCAGATTTCCTAAGGGTCCGCGTTACAGAGACGCAGTTGGTGTAGGCTAACTCCAAACAGATACTATTAAACTCCGAAACTCAAAAACAAATAAACAGACTGACGGACACTATCAATAAAATTATCAGTTCCCGCAAAGGCGATTTGGTTGACACTCCTCATTTATTCGAGACAGTGTTGGCAAGAAATAGAATACTGAACACAGAAATTCAAAATTTAATACTCACCATAACGTTGGCAAAAGCAAAAATAGTAAATCCTACTATCCTTGATCATACCGATCTGAAATCACTTATCGAACAAGATACCCCAATAGTTAGCTTAATAGAAGCTTCTAAGATCAAGGTCCTTCAGTCCGAGAATATTATCCACATATTAATAGCCTACCCTAAAGTTGAGATTAGGTGCCAAAAGGTCTCCGTCTACCCCGTTTCACACCAACAAACCATTCTGCGACTCGACGAAGACACGTTGGCGGAATGCGAAAAGGATACCTTTGCAGTTACTGGATGCACCGTAACTACGCATAACACTTTCTGCGAACGAGCACGGCGCGAAACCTGTGCTAGCTCCCTTCACGCGGGAAACATCGCCAACTGCCACACTCAACCTAGCCACCTGAAAGCGATAATGCCTGTAGACGACGGCGTCGTGGTTATCAACGAAGCGACAGCGCGCGTCCGAACAGATGATGGCGCAGAGGCAACCGTCTCAGGAACCTTCCTGATAATTTTCGAACTGTCTGCAGCTATCAATGGCACAGAATTTGTAAACTTGCGCAAATCACCAAGCAAGCAGCCTGGCACCGTGAGGTCACCGCTCCTACACATCATCGGACATGACCAGGCACTAAGCATAACACTTAACATATAAGATACACTCTCACAGTCATACATTGTTATTTCTAAGTACGCAATACACAATCATAAGTATTTGGTTGCCCTCAGCAAAAAATACAAAAACACACAGCCTTAAGCATTTTAGTTGCCCTCAGCAACAAAGTAGTATTCTTGTAAACAATGCTGACCCGCTGCCAACAGTTCTGCGCACAGCAACTGAAAACGGACACCCGTGCTGCTTGCGCAAGAATGCTGAGTCGGCATGCCGACTCTAGCGTATGGCGTAATGCATTGGCTTCACAGGGCAAACTTAAGCTGGAACATTTCTGTAGCCTTCAGTCTCAATCTAGATCGCAACATTATAAGACGAGTGAATGATTAAACTTCGGCATTGCCGTCAATAAACATTATTTGTGTTATCAATCATAGTTGACCACGTCCAAGACGGGCAACTGGGAAAGTTCCCACAACCTAATCACATCGTTCCAATAGTCACCTGTTGGATTCATCACCACCTCACAAGGAGAAGAATCACCTGTTGGATTCATCACCACCTCACAAGGAGAAGAACCACCTGTTGAATTCATCACCACCTCACAAAGAGAAGAAGTCACCACCGTCCGACCAACCACACATCGTCGCCAGACAACGAAGTCACGACGGAAGACTTAATTTATACCCTTATACCCATTTTTAATGGGTTCAGGGTATAAAAAGCGTAACCAGCCTGTCACCCTTCCAGTCCCTTCAATACAGGGTACCATTTCTGCCCAAATCTATATTCATTATCAGAATGCCAGAGGTCTCATTTCAAAGCTTAAAAATCTTTACATGGCCAGCACTTCCTTCGACTCGGATATAATAGCTTTATCATAAACATGGTTAAATTCAACCATATCCGATTTTGAGGTTTTTTCGAATAATTTTATTTGGCATAGAAATGATCGGCCGACTTGAAGTGCTGGGGTGTTAATTGCCGTTAAAGCCACTCTCCAGTCACAACTTTTCTGTTTTAGTACGCCTACTGACGCTGAGATTGTCTCAGCTAAAGTGTCTTTTCCAACACGGAATATATTACATGCTCTTATCCTTCCTCCTTCTTCTGATATTCAAGTTTATATGAAACATATTACTATTTCTATTTATGTTGGGTGATTTTAATATTCTGAACATCTCTTGGTCATTATTCACTGCCGAAAATTATCTGGTGCCCTCAACACAGCGCGATTTTATAAGCTGCATGCTTGATCTTTCGTTGTTTCAAATCAAATTTCTAATCATTTGAATAGAACACTTGACCTTGTATTCGTTAACGACTACCTTTGTAATAGGTTCAATAGTAAAAGACGAGAACGTTTTGGTTAGGAGCGTCTGCTCCGTTGTTTTGCTTTATTTAGAATAAATCTTATATTTTCCTGCTGGGTTCAGCTAACCCGAAACATGCAATGATTATATCTATGTCTTATATTTATGTGTAAGAAATTTGGTAAATACATATGTATGCAGAGTGCATGCTCAGCATTCCCACGCGCTACGATCGGCATGTATATAAGTGGTGGATCGTATGACATATGCGCTGGTGTGTTTATATGTTTATGTGTGGTCTTTTGCGTATTTGTATATTTATGATTATTATGACTGAGTGTCACAATGTATGTATTTACTGTTATACCCTTTGATTTGTATTGGCTGGCAGGGTAGTTATACTACACCTCCCTTTTTAAAGAAATGACGTAATATATGTAGTCATTTAGAGGGTTTAAAGTCGGTATAAAAATATTTAAATTAATGGTGGTAGTAATTATACCCTGAACCCATTAAAAATGGGTATAAGGGTTTATTGTATTTGTGCAAAATCCAAATGTATGTAACAGGCAGAAGGAAGCATCTCCGACCCCATAAAGTATATATATTATTGATCAGCGTCAATAGCCGAGTTGATCTAGCCAAGTCCGTCTGTCTGTCTGTCCGTCCGTCCGTATGTATGAACGCAAGGATCTCAGAACCTATAAGATCTAGAGACTTGAAATTTTAGATGTAGATGCTCCTAGTTCCCGCGCAGATCGAGTTAATCGATAACTTACTCCGTTTCCAAGCAATGAGATAAAAATCTATATCGATATCCGGTTTTTTGGGCAATTTTGGTAAATAATAAGAGCTAGAGTTGCCAAACTTGACATATAGCTTCCAACATAGAATATATATATATATATGCATTTGATGTTGGAACTAGAGGGTTCAGGGTAACCCCTAGTCGGAAACTCCCGACTAGAACCTCTTACTTGTTTTTTGCTCAATAACACCTTATTATTGGTGTGGCTGTTGAGTAGAGGCGTAGCAAGTGTTGCCGTCAGTCGCAAGTTCGAACCCTGTCTAGGAAATTTTCTTGGCTGCTGTAGCTGTTGAGTAGAAACGGAGGCAAGTTGTGCGGTTAGTTGCAAGTTCGAACCTTGTCAAGGAAACATTTTTTTTAAATTTATCTTTATTACTACAAACGAGCGCGTAGCTCGAGCTGCATTTGGTGTTTGAATAAGAGGATTCAGGGTGGGGAACTCCCGACTAGAACCTCATACTTGTTTTAAAGAGTAAAGGTCAAGATTTTTACCTTGAGGAACACCAGAAGAAACGTGTATGTGTTTTGAGGTAGTCAGCCTCAGCATTAGTAGGCGTTTTAAAGCAGAAAACTTTTTACTGGAGTGTGTTTTTAACGACAATTAATACCCCATAATTTTTTATAATATATAATAATAATTAATAAATATCAACGTACTAATTTATGATACACATTTGTTTAAAAAGGTTTTAATTTTATTGAATGAATATTAATGGATCAAACCAAGAAAATTAAAATAAAAAGTAAATTCTTCTTCGCATTTTGACCTTAGTTAATATACTTGTTTGACATTTTATGACAATTACGATTGGTCTATGATTACTGAGATAATTATGGTGTTCTTATTCTGATTTATATTTTAATTCCTTTCATATAATAATATCTTTACTTCTTTCTGTAATAATATGTTAACTATAACCTACCTTTATTAAAGAAAATAACAATTTTTAACAATGTTATCCCTTATAAATAGTTTATAGTTCTTCTTTTAAGCTCTTTCACATATTAACGAAGTGTTATACAAAAGCTGATACCAGCTTCAGAGTATGGATCAGATTCTATGAAATTCTGTTTCTCGATGGTCATAATCTTAATTTCTTCATCATTTGCCATTAATATATTATTTCCAATTTCAACACCATCTGTGTTTGTGGCATATGTGAGAGCCAATTCCCTCATCCCATTAAGTTGTTCTACATATTTTTTAAGAGTACATTGCCGAACATTTAGTTCGACCTCATCAAGGGATCTTTCCGCCGCCAGAGTTTTTAGCTTTTTGGCCATTTGACGATTAATACGCTAATGGATTAAGAACATATATAAGTACGATATTATCATACAATTCGGCCATACCTGTTGCACAACAAGTTTATGTTTTACTTTCACTGTCGGCATGTGCGATAACATACGTTTAAGTACTTCATTGGCTTTTTGAGTTTCAGCTAATCGGTTTTTAATATTGGAATTCTCGATGGGCTGCTTTAAGGTGCGCCTGTTGAAAAAAATATTTTACTCAATATAAAAGAAAACGACTAAGGAAATGAACTCATTTTCTATACAGGTAAGAGAACTTATATTATTTTAACAAAGAAAGCATCACAGACGATTTAAATTTATTAAGATTAAAATTAAATTCCACAGGATGCTACACATGGCATAAAACCAGTATGTGGAACCATATAATAATCTCAAAGATAATAATAACGAGAAAAAAAGGCTATCTTCGGCACGCCGAAGATCTAATACCCTCTCAGACCCAACCTTTTCATAATGCTTATAGTGCTTTGCCCGTATCTAAGAAGCCCGGGGAATAGTTAAGGACGAGTTTGGTCAATATATCTTGATAAACAAAAACGATTTTTAATCAAGAACCTAGTTTTCGAAAGATCGTTCTATGGCAGATATATGATATAGTAGCCAGATGTAAAGAAGATTTTGCAAAAATGAAGGGAGCATAGTGAAATGTTTAAATACCGTATTTAATCAAAATATCTTGAATGACAAAAAAATTTTCCATACAACAACTTAATTTTCGACCGATCGATATATGATATAATGGTACGACCTTAATATGATTTTGCCTATATATGAGGAGTATAGTTAAATTAATAATAATATCTTGAAAAACAAAATGTTTTTTTATACAACTTAATTTTTGACCGATCGTATGGCAGCTTTATGATATAATGGTCCGATCTTAATATTATTCTGCCTATATATGAGGAGAGTAAAACTAATAAATGCCGAGTTTGTTCAAGATATCTTAAAAACATATATATATATATATATATGAGGAATAAACTAAGTAAAACTAATAAATGCTGAGCTTGGTCAAAATATCTTGAGAAACAAAATGTTTTTTCATACAAGTTAATTTTCGTACAATTGTTCCTATGACAGCTATATAGTATAGTGCAGCGTGCAACAGAAAGAGGGACTTTTGCAAAGTTTTATATGGATAGCTTTAAAGCTGAGGGACTAGTTCGCATAGAAACAGACAGACGGACAGACGGAAATGGTTATATCGACTCGGTGTAATTTAAATTTAGCTTAGTCAAATGTAATTTCATATTATATTATAATAGTTTCTTCCTTATTTATTATATGGCTTGGATTTGTTATTCTTTAAGCATCTGTGTAGTTGGTTTTGTCCAGTAATCCTTTCGACAGAGTCGACCCTTTTGCTAATGTGTCCCAATCTCTCAATTTGTTTTAGATTCAGTTGCAAATACTCTATGGCTTATCTTGAATTCAACCATGGGAGCATTCGTTAGACGCACAGCTTCCAAAACGCCTTGTCCGTTCTTAAAGACTTTTATACCAGTTGAGTTGAACTCAGCTGTCATACCAGCATCCTGCATCTTTGGCACCGACAGCAACTTGTGTGGGATGTCTTTGCAAAAAAGCATATTATCCAGAATAATATTTTCACCAAGATTACTTTTTAGTTTTACTGTACCATTAGCAGTAGCATAAATGTACTCTCCAAATTTTAGAAAAGCAATCTCAATTGGTGTTTCCAGGATAATATATTCCACAAACAGATTTACACTATTTATCATACGGTTTGACGTTCCAGAATCCAATATGAATGAGACATTACTTTTATCTTTATAATTCATAGCCTGCTGTCTCAATAAAATGCAAAACCTCCGATGAGTTGTGCACTTGCTGCTTGGGCTTGTGTATTTCGATGTTTTGAATATGTGCCTGGGCTTAAATTTTGATTTAAAATAAAAAAACAATATTGTACTGCTCGTATCTTCACTAGCATTCTGAAGTTTGATCCCGTAATCAAGTAAGCGATTTTTGATAAATGCTGGGATCAATTACCAAAGTTTCAATGGCAGTTACGACTCCATCATAAGTAGAAGGTAAAGTTGAAAGGAAGTGTAAGCCGTGTCCGCCTGTCTGTCCGTCCGTCCGTCCGTGAAATTTTAGATGTAGGTGCTCCTAGCTCCCGCGCAGATCGAGTTTGTTTCCGATAATTGATAATTTACTCCGTTTCCAAGCAATCGATAAAAATCGATATGGATATCCTGTTTTTTGGGCAATTTTGGTAAATATAAAGAGCTAGAGTCACCAAACTTGATATTTAGCTTCTAAAATAGAATATATGTATGCATTTGGTGTTGGAAGAGGAGGGTTCTGGGTATCCCCTAGTCGGGAGGTCGCGACTAGAACCTCTTACTTGTTATTTCTACATTTATCATTGTTGGTGCTTTATTTAAAAAGCTTTTATAAATTGTGCAAATTGTTGTCTGTTAATTATTGCATTTATAAAACGCGGCGTGAGTTCCATGTTGTTGTTATTGCCTGTGTTGATTCTATTGCTTTGGTGCTCCCCTGTACACACACTTGTCTATGCGTGTGTTTGCTGCTGCATATTTCTTGTGCATCGCGCTCTCGATTTTGCTATTGTTTGTGTACGAATAATTGTTTTTTGAGTGTTTACTTGCTCCATTTTTGTTTTTTCGTTTTGCTCTGCGCTTTTGCAACTAGCATTATAATAATAATATTGTGCTGTAAGAAACCTTGCACGCTCAAACAGGCTGATGATTCTGCACTGCCGCAATTGGTTAGAATTGCGTGTGCAGAATATGATGCATGCTAAGTGTGCAGGTCTCACTGGGCGTGATTGCGACAAGATCGCTGCTTTTGCCAAGAAGGGCTGCGGCGGCTTGCGTTGGGCGTGCCCAGAATGCATCGACAGGCAAATTGATTTCTCCAGAATGTATAGTTCTGTGAGAAATCAATTCATAAAATTGAATAATGGGGCTAAGTAGCTCTCGAGTAATTTTGGGTCGAGTTTTGAGTTGCTTGGCAAATACAAATTCGAGTCTCCAACCAATCGCAGGTTGGAGCCTCAACTTTTGCAATTGTCCTATACGTCTGTTCAGACACCTCCGCCTTTCTTGCCCCTACCTAGCAACTTGGATTTATCTCCAATGTTGTCTTTATCGCCTTCTCCGACCGACTACCCAATTACCCCTGTTTCAACCCCTGTAGTAGTCCTAGTAGGGTCCGTACCTGAACCTGTCCCAGTTATCCAAAATGCCTCAGCCCCGTCGGTCCTAGCCGCAAAGGTAGACAATCATGGTGCCTCTTAAGCTCTTCCAACTCCTGTATTACCTGCAGCCCCATCAGCGCCTACTTTAACGGTTGTTGCCCCTCGTAGGCAAGTTTTTGTGTCTCGACTTTAGTCGGACACCACTTCAGAGACATTGACGCCTATATTGCTAGAATATCTTCTGCTAGCGTGTCAATTTAATTTCTCCACCGCTCGTGAAATATTATTCAAAATAAATATTTCACATGATATGTTCCAAATCATTTGTGATCCCAAATTTTGGCCTCCACACATGATTGTTCACGTGTTCAAGCCTAAAAAGCGTAACCAGCCTGTCACCCTTCCAGTCCCTTCAATACAGGGTACCATTTCTGCCCCAAAAAACTAACTTCATCTTCTGACCAAATCTTTATTCATTATTAGAATGTCAGAGGTCTCATTACAAAGCTTAAAAATCTCTACATGGCCAGCACTTCCTTCGACTCGAATAAAATAGCATTTTCAGAAACATGGTTAAATTCAACCATATCTGATTTTGAGGTTTTTTCGAATAATTTTATTTGGCATAGAAATGATCGGCCGACTTGAAGTGCTGGGGTGTTAATTGCCGTTAAAGCCACTCTCCAGTCACAACTTTTCTGTTTTAGTACGCCTACTGACGCTGAGATTGTCTCAGTTAAAGTGTCTTTTCCTACACGGAATATATTACATGCTCTTATGTCCCTCCTTCTTCTGATATTAAAGTTTATATGAAACATATTACTATTTCTATTTATGTTGGGTGATTTTAATTTTCCGAACATCTCTTGGTCATTATTCACTGCCGAAAATTATCTGGTGCCCTCAACACAGCACGATTTTATAAGCTGCATGCTTGATCTTTCGTTGTTTCAAATCAAATTTCTAATCATTTGAATATAACACTTGACCTTGTATTCGATAACGACTACCTCTGTAATAGGTTCGATAGTAAAAGACGAGAACGTTTTGGTTAAGAGCATCTGTTCCGTTGTTTTGCTTTATTGAGAATAAATCTTATATATTCCTGCTGGGTTCAGCTAACCCGAAACATGCAATGCTTATATCTATGTCTTATATTTATGTGTGAGTATATTGGTGTATACATATGTATGCAGAAGGCATACATATATTGTGTATATCTTGACCACTTGAGCTGCAAAGTATGAATGAACGCATGGATATCACAACCTATAAGGTCGTCCTAGTGCCTGCGCAAATCGAGTTTTTCTCCGATTATCGATAACTTACTCCGTTTCCAAGCTATCGATATCCAAATTCTGTTTTGTGTGTAAATTACCCAATTTGCATACATTAAGATCTAGAGTCACCAAACTTGATATGTTGCTTCTAGAATATTATATATATATATATATATCAAGTATGCTTCATTTTATAACTATCGCCACGTTCCCGCTACCACCGCAGAGCTATAAATCAAGTTGATTGCCAACAATATTGCACACCAACTTAAGCCACAATTTTAATGCAATTGACTCTTTGAGAATACACAAATATTCTATAGTACAATATGATTTCTGTGCTGCTATTTTGATCAGTTTTTATACCCTGAACCCATTGAAATGGGTATAAGTGTATATTGTATTTGTGCAAAATCCAAATGTATGTAACAGGCAGAAGGAAGCATCTCCGACCCCATAAAGTATATATATTCTTGATCAGCATCAACAGCCGAGTCGATCCAGCCATGTCCGTCTGTCTGTCCGTCCGTCCGTCCGTCCGTATGTATGAGCCAAAGGATCTCAGAACTTATAAGAGCTGGAGACTTGAAATTTTAGATGTAGATGCTCCTAGTTTCCGCGCAGATCGAGTTAATCGATAACTTACTCCGTTTCCAAGCAACCGATAAAAATCGATATCGATATCCGGTTTTTTGGGCAATTTTGGTAAATAATTAGAGCTAGAGTCGCCAAACTTGACATATAGCTTCCAACATAGAATATATATATATATGCATTTGATGTTGGAAGAAAAGGGTTCAGGCTATCCCCTAGTCGGGAACTCCCGACTAGAACCTCTTACTTGTTTTTTGCTCAATAACACTTAATTATTGGTGTGGCTGTTGAGTAGAGGCGTAGCAAGTGTTGCCGTCAGTCACGGGTTCGAACCCTGTCTAGGAAACTTTTTTTTTTGTGGCTGCTGTAGCTGTTGAGTAGAAACGGAGGCAAGTAGTGCGGTTAGTTGCAAGTTCAAGGAAAAATTTGTTTTTAATTTATCTTTATTACTACAAACGAGCGCGTAGCTCGAGCTGCATTTGGTGTTTGAATAAGAGGATTCAGGGTGGGGAACTCCCGACTAGAACCTCATACTTGTTTTTTTTTTGTTTTCAAACTTTTTTTTTTTTACTTGCCAAACATTTCTCAATGTATTGTTTTTTATTATTTATTTAATAGTGCAAGATTTTCTTTATTTATTTTCTTATTAGATGACTGGGCCCATAACCTGTTGGAATATCCAGTCTAATGTCGCACACAATTATATAATAACACTAGTTTAATATTGTATTACTTTCAATATTTGTTATTTTACTTGTTGAGCGCGTAAGCTTGTTTATTCTGATGCTCAGCGAAGAGTGAGGCTAAACGATAGGAGCATTTCAGCATCTAGACTGTATATATAACAAAATCCTACCTGGTCATTGTATCTTTTGTATAAATGAGTGTTTTTGTGTATTTCAAAATTAATTTCTATCTGATATAGTGTACCGATCTGAATAGGATTTTGCATTTATATGAAGAGCATAGTAAAACTTATAAACGTCGAGTTTGGTCAAGATATCTTGTAAAACAAAATGTTTTTCAAACAACTCAATTTTCGACCGATCGGCAGCTATTTGATATAGTGGTCCGATCTTAATAGGATTTTGCATATATATATTCAGATATATATATATGAAGATATCTTGACCAACCTCGGCATTTTTAGATTTACTATACTCCTCATATATAGGTAAAATAATATTAATATTATTATTATATCATAAAGCTGCCATAGGAACGATCGGTCGAAAACTAAGTTGTTGTATAAAAAAACATTTTAATTTTTAAAGATATCTTGACCAAACTTGGCATTTTATAATTTATTTATTTATTTATATCTGTTAAGATCGGACCACTTTATTATATAGCTGCCATAACTTTTTGTATGAAAAAACATTTTTTTATTAAGATATCTTGGCCCAGCTCGGCATTTATTAGTTTTATTTTACTCCTCATATATAGGCAAAATCATATAAAGATCGGACCAATTTCGAAAACATTTTGTTTTTCAAGATATCTTGACCAAACTCGTCATTTATTAGTTAGTATGCTCCTCATATATATGCAAAATACTGTTAAGATCGGAACACTATATTATATAGCTGCCATAGGAACGATCGGTCGAAAATTAAGTTATTGTATAAAAAAACATTTTGTTTGTCAAGATATCTTCCCCAAACTCGGCATTAACTATTTTCCCTGTGCTTCTTAGATACGGACAAAGCACTATAAGCATTATGAAAAGGTTGGGTTTGCAAGGGTATTAGATCTTCGGGGTGCCGAAGATAGCCTTTCTTTCTCGTTTATAATTTTACTTAAGAACACTTTTTTCCTACTTACATTCTTCTGCTAAGATGTAGGCTCTAATAGCGACACTGGCAAAATTTGCTGTGAATAGAGGCACAGCTGGCCGGACTGGCTAATAAAACACCCCCATCGGTCGGTGATGCTATTTAGAAAATTGTGTTCTCTATTGTATGTATAAACTATTGAATAATAAGAAGACACTCGTTTTGTCGACCATAATAAATAAATATTCTTGATCAGCATCAATAGCCGAGTCGATCTAGCCATGTCTGTCTGTCTGTCCGTCCGTCCGTCCGTATGTATGAACGCAGCACCTATAAGAGATAGAGACTTGACATTTTAGATGTATATTTTCCTAGTTCCCGCGCAGATAGAGTTTGTTTCCGATAATCGATAACTTACTCCGTTTCCACGCAATCGATAAAATTCGATATCGATATCCTGTTTTTTGGGCAATATTGGTAAATAATAAGAGCTAGCGTCACCAAATTCGACATATAGATTCTAAAATAGAATATATATATGCATTTAATGTTGGAAGAAGAGGGTTCAGGGTATCCCCTAGTTGGGAGCTTCCGACTAGAACCTCTTACTTGTTTTTTTTTGTTTTCAAACAATTTTTTTTTTTATTTGCCAAATGTTTCGTAATGTATTATTTTTTTACCCTTGCAGAGGGTATTATAATTTTGTCGTGAAATGTGTAACGCATAGAATGAGACATCTCCAACCCCATGAAGTATATATATTTTCTTGATCAGCATCAACAGCCGAGTCGATATAGCCATGTCCGTCTGTCCGTCTGACCTACTGTCCGTCTGCCTGTTTCTAGTCCCTAAGTTTTAAAGCTATCTTAATGAAACTTTGCAGAACTCCCTCTTTCTGTTGCACGCAGCACGTATGTCGAAACCAGCTGGATCGGACTACCATATCATAGAGCTGCCATAGGAACGATCGGTCGAAAATTAAGTTTTTGTATGAAAAAACATTTTGTTTTTCAACATATCTTGACCAAACTGGGCATTTATTAGTTTTACTATGCTCCTCATATATATGCAAAAACCTATTCAGATCGGACCCCTATATCATATAGCTGCAATAGGAACGATCGGTCGAAAATTAAGTTATTGTATCAAAAAACGTTTTGTTTTTCAAGATATCTTGACCAAACTCGGCATTTATTAGTTTTACTTTATTCCTCATATATAGGCAGAATATATTAAGATCGGACCACTATATCATTTAGCTGCCATAGGAACGATCGGTCGAAAATTAAGTTTTTGTATGTGTTCACACAAGAAGTGTATCCAACAGTCGCCATCCAACCGCCATGTAACTCCGGAACCAGTACACGGAACATGTACTGAAATTTCACCACACGTACACTAATACACTGGTACTCTTGTAATGTACTCTGAGAAAATAAAATAGATGAAAAATAACCTTCAAGCTAACAAAACGTGTTTTTCTTCAAACCTAAAATAAATTTGTGCAGAGCAGAAACGCTCCTCCAACGACGATTCATTCTATAGAAGTTCACCTGGAAGCCCTGCGGACGCCCTACTACAACATTTGGTCCTTCGAGCCGGATTGGTATATCCAGTTCGCCCCAGCAAGCATTGGTGGATCTGCAATAAAAGGTTCCAGGAACAGCCATAAATTCGAAAAAGATAAGTAGCAGTGCACCTACCTCAACTTGTCCATTGCCAAATTTCCGGCAACTCCAGTTAATTAATTCTTTTGTGTGTCTGAACATATTTTTTCGCTTCACATTGTCCGTGGTTAAAGCGAGGGGCAATTGTATTTAAAAAAAAAAAAAAAATTCAACAAAAAAAAACCCGCAGATAAAATATTGTTCGTGGCCATTAAGGCGTCTAAAAAGTGATAAATATTAAAAGAAATAAAACAGAAAGTGACTCCGATAAGGTCGCCATATTGGTGTCTGTACATATATATACATATATGTACAAGTGCATACCCAAAAATTTAACCGATCGCCATATTGATGTACGCAAGTACATCCAGACATATCTGCACACATAGGCTTTCGCTCCGTTGAACAACAAGTGTATGCGCTTCTCCATTCCAACCTTCACCAAAGAATCACACACTAAATACATATATAAAAACACACAATTCTAATTCGTATTTAATTAAATAAAACCACACTGTGCAAATTCACCTGCATGTACACACACACACATCCTATTATATGTGTATCGTTTGTTATTTGTTCCTCCACAGCAGCTTCAATATTAATTTATATATTTATTTTTACCAATTAATTGGCAAGTGTGAAACGTAAACAAACAACAGGGTTGTAAAGTGTCAAGATCGGTTTTCGATAAACTGATTCTGTGAAACTTTTATATTTTGTATGTTTCCACCTTGCCATTGAG